AATCATGTTTCTTCTCTAAATCCCTGAGGGCTCCCTGTGCCTCCACGATAAAGTGACTCTTCAGAACAGCCATAAAGCCCTTAACAGTCCAACCCTCAACAACCTTTCCAAACACATCATCTTTCCAGCATTCGTCCCTGCCTTCGAGGCACACCAAAACATCTGCTGTTTCCTAAACACGCTGTATTTTACAATGCTTCCATGTTTTTGCTGATTTTGTTTCCTGTACCTTCCCCTTCCTTCTTCACCAACAGGATGTTAATTACAGTACTGTTATCTAGCTCAAATCCTACTTTCTCTGTAAAAGCCAATCCTGACTCTTCATTCAACAAACTTTTATTGAGCAACCTCTACGTACCATGAACTTAGCAGGACATAGTCCCCGTCTTCTAGAATCTTAAAGTCGGGGGAGTGAGTAAAACTGCAATGACATGGAATACTCAACTTGCCATCACAACATAACACGAAGATATTTAGGAACTATAGGAACACCTACCCTAGAAAATGCTCATCGTGCTGGGCTGCCTGCCCCACAGGTGAGTTAACAATAGTAGACTGACTATAAATTGCTATGTGAATGTGAGGTCTTCTAGGTCTACCGCCAAATTTTCCATTACGTTCAAGTTCAAAGGGGACATAAGAGTGGCCAAGGTTACAGCAAGACAATGAAAGACCAGTCTAAAAGCCCAGGACTATCTTGGATAGTGCTTTTAAAATGAAGGTCAGCAAGAAGACATACGAATGGCCAAAGCAAATCAAAACCACAATGAGATACCATCTGTCAGAATGACTATTTTCAATAGGACAAATAATAACAAGTGTTGGAAAGGATGAGGAGAAAAAGGGACCCTCGTACACTGCTGGTGGGACTGCAAATTGGTACAGCCACTATGGAAAAAAACTATAGAGGTTCCTCAAAAAACTAACAGTTGATCTACCATATGATCCAGCAATTCATCTACTGAGTATTTACCCCAGAGACTTGAAAACATATATCTAAAAAGATATATGCACACCGATGTTCATAGCAGGCATTATTCATGGTGGCCAGGACATGGAAGCAACCGAAGTGTCCTACAATAGACGACTGGATAAAGCAGCTGTGGTACATATATAAAATGGAATATTAGTCAGCCATAAGAAGAGATGAAATACTACCATTTGTGACAACCTGGATGTATCTTGAGATAATCACGCTAAGCCAAAAAAGCCAGACAGAAAAAGTTGAAAACCACATGCTATCACTAATACGTGGGATATAAATCTAAAAGCAACAAATAAGCACGACAGACAAACAGAGAGAGACTCATGGACATGGACAGTAGACTAGTGGTTACCAGAGGGTGCAAGGGGGAGGTAGATGGGGTCAAAGGGGTCAAATATGTGGTGACAGAAAGAAATCTAACTATGGGCAGTGAACCTACAATGCAAATATATATATATTTATATGACTTACTGTTGAATTGTACATTCGAAACTTACTGGATTTCGTTAGCCAATGTCACCGTAATAAATAAAAAAATAAAAATAAAGTAAAATGAAGGTCACGATCCTTTGATGGATTAGATGTAAACTTTGTCGGATCAACTGAGTAGTTTATAATCAGCATTAAAGAAAAACAACAGAAAATATCACATGTAGCTAAGATAAACAATATATTATGAAACCTTTGTTTCAGTTATGCAGATGAGTTTGGAAAATGCTATAATAGATTGATCAGTGAATTAGACTTTCCTGTTACCACTCATGTGTCCTGTCCATGCCCGTGTTCACTGCTATGGAGGAGAATGGAATGGCTAGTTCAGATATCACAGATCCTGATTTTCTGCCAAAGGGAAACGAAAAATTTGGTGGAAACAAAAATTTGTTGAAATTGTTTTCAGCCAGAGGATCTGCCAGGAGAAAAACAATGCTTGTAAAATGAAAGGTAAAACTTTAATAAGAGTTGAAAGAAAATTAACTTTTGATTAAAAAGTAACATGTATGTGTTAAAAAAAAAACAACCCACAAACAGTATATATATGGACTATGGTGAAATTTCTCATTTTTACACATATTATAGAGTAAGTGACAAACATTTCCTAATGGTAGTTTCAAATTTGAGGATTTAGAAATATCCAAGATATAAGCTCCAAGAGAGCAGGGACCACATCTGTCTGGCTCGCTAACGGCACACCCAGCACATCTAGCAGATGTGATAAAATATGTACTGAAGAAATGGAAAATGTGCTAAGGGTCTCCTATGCTCCCTTGCATCCTGTATCTTGGCCAGAGTTCTGTGAGTTTGGATTCCTTCCCCAATAAACATTCCAGGTTCTGCTTCTCCCAGTTCTACTTCCCAGACTGAGGTCCGCAGGGCGTGCCCTGTACTTTCTCTTCTTCCCTCCTCTCTACTCCTGTGGCGAGGGCTCCCCAAGCACAGAGCCTAAGGCTTCCATTTGCCTCCACGGTGTGGCTGGCAATAAGCTCTGAACAGGAAAAACAAACAAACAAACAGATCTTCACCGGAAAAGAAAAATTCTGGAAAAGCTTAAGATTTATCTGATGGGCATTTTCTTAGGAGAAACAACCTAATAATAGATGAGAAGCCTCCAAGAAGACCCGACCCCTCCGATGGTGGAATGTCAGAAGCGGAAGGGATCTTTAAAAGAGCCTGTCAATCTAGCTATTTTAATGCTATTCTGAAAAGCCAGAAAAAGAATCTGTTCATCTGCTAAGACTCATTTCTAGCCAGTATTTGATATAATACATTTCCAGAAGAAAATCTTAGATATGATTTGATATTATTTCAAACAAAGCAGTTATGTGTTCTGTACTGTATCCAATACTTGATTTGCCAAATTCTTAACAAATTTTAAGTTCTAAGTTTCCATTTTCTCTACCAAATGTTTACCGTCCTCTTAAAAGCTTTTGTCCTTTCCTTTTCTTGGGCAAGCCACTGCTGCCCTGGTTTGCAATTGCTACACACCTTTTGGGGGCTTTGTACTTAAAAGCATGTCGGAAATTTTAACACAATATATCATTATTTGTTTTCAGTATCTGCTCATTTTCCATTTGTATTACAATTTAACGCACTCCTAGCTTGATGACATGAGTTCCCATCAAATGGAATCCCATCTGTCATATCTGGTTCAACCACATTCCCATGAATTAGAGCAAAATCCACACTTTTGACCTTGGTCCTACAGGTAGGCCTCTCCTACTCTCTGACTTCCAGTCCCCTCATTCCTTGCCCCATCCAACCCCTCACCCCCCTCGCCCCCACGCCAGCCCTAAACAAACTAAGCTCATTTCTCACTCAGACCTCTACAACAGCTCTTCCCTTTCCCTGGAATGTTGGGAAACCTTCACCATTCAATTCTCTATTCAGAAAGACCTTCCATGACTGCCACTTAAACTATGTACACCATCCATTCACACTCCTTTTACTTTCTCTGCCCCACTCCCATCCCTTTACCCTACTTAATTTTCTTCAGCATGTTATTTGACATCTTATCATTTACTTAAGCCATTCGATCTGTCAATCTTCCTTATTTAACATATCTTCTCTCTAGAAGGTAAACTCAGCAGCTAAAATAGTGTAGTAGGTACTCAATGTGATGGCTTCTCAATGAATATTTATTGGCTTAATGCATGACAGGAAGAAAATGGTGAAGATTAAAAATAATAAACACACACACACACATCACAGCACTTGACGATAACAGGGGCCCTACTTTCTCAGCAAAAAAACAAATTAGCCATTGAAGAATTCATTTAGTCAACAAGTACTTACTGAATACCTACAATGTTCGGTACACATCTGCAGTGGAGACAAAGATGTGTGTGCCTGCCTTTATTATGGTGTTTTTAGACTTGATGGAAGGTGACAGTCTGAACAACTGGAACATATGATGAGAAGGGGAAAGTGCCAGAGAAGTGTCGGGGAAACTCAGAAGCTGAGACTGAGTAGCTGCCATCTGGGCAAGGCCTTACAGAATGAATGAAGTTTACACCAGCACCGCAGAGTGAGCACTGGTAGTCCAGATGACTAAGACAAAACAAGCAGTCAGACCTGTTGACCAACTAGACTGTGTTTCAACATGCCAGAAAAATAAGCTGCGAAGGAAGGCAGAGGGGTCCGAATTGTGAAGGACCTTCAACGCCTTGACAGTAGGTACGGAGAACCTACCTTACCTATTTTATTGCTTAGACTGTCCCTATTTGTGACTTTCCTTCTGAAGGGACACATGCTGGTCGTGGCAGTCTCACTCTGGGTCTATAGGGTGCTCTGCAGACGCTGTCAAGTTCTGATTAACCAGGAGGACACCTTACACTAAATCTGAGTTCCCTATGATCTTACCTTCGACCTCTCGGTGCTATCCACCCAGTACAAGGTGATTTTTCGGGCGATCAGGACTTCCTGGACCCTCTTGGGCAGCAACTTCTCCATCATCTGCTTAGGAGTGGTCGGCAGGCGCGGGGCCTGGGCCTCGCAGCCATACACGAACTGCAGCAGTTCCCTCTGCGAATGCGGACAGGGGGCCAGCAGGAAGACGGCGTTCCCAAAGCCCCCGAGCGCAGTCTCGGCCTCCTTGGCCTCGCTCTCTCCCTCCA